TGTAATTTAAATATGATAAACAGATCAGAAGGTGTGAGCAGAACAAGGAAGCAGGCAGAGACAGCATGGAATCCTTCAATTGATGCATATAAAGGTCCTCAAGCTTTCAGAAGTGCTTATACACAGATCTTTAAATGTGATCCTCAAAGATGCTGAGCACCCACAAGATAGTCCTGCTGGAGAGATGCTCAGCATCTCTGAAGATTGGGCTGTTCAATGCCTTGTACCCAGGGAGGCTGTCATTCTTCACAAAGTAATGATGTAAGAAGAACATTACATGGGAGTAAGTAAATTTTAAAGCCTAAAATGAGAAACTTTTTCAGAACAGCTTGTTTTTATTCTGTGGGTTCATGTTTCCTAATCTGGGCTTTTTTTCCAGTCATTCAGCAAAAATGTGGCAGCTGAATCTAGACTAATTAAAGGTGGAATACAATTTTCAACGTATAGCAGTATCACTATTAGCTAACAATATTTCTGAAGCACAGATAACTTACTATATACCATGGCAATTAATTAGATTTAAACTACCTTTCAATGTGCAGTTAAGCCAAGGGACACTTTTTTCAGGTGGCACAGCAGTCCACACTCCTGTTGGATGGCAGAAATAGCCACTTGCAGGTTCATTCTCAAACTGGAAACCATCTTTGCAACAAACAATACAGTAGTCAGATCAACAGTACAAAAATCCATTTGTGGGAGAGGGGAATTTCTTGCATGCTGAGGAAAAAAGGAAGAGTTTTTAGACAGGTTTTTTTTTCAGAATTGTTTGAAAATGTACAAGTTCTTTTTTTCCCATTACAAATCTGACACGGTATTAAATTAAGAGCTGTACCTGCACTTACTGGTGTATTTCAGTGACTTTTCTTTCAAAATCCTTTATTTTTTAGCCAGTTGTTTAGCATGTTGTCTCTCTATAGACCTGAGTGAGATCAGAATGTTTCAAATACATCCCCCACTATATGTACTGTTAAAAATCTTTGCAGTTATAATTACCTGAAGGTGGCATCCATCCAGGGGATATTAAGGAAGACATTATCAGAAGCCAAAGGGATACTATGGTTGTGAGGAAAAGCAGCATGATTTGGAGATTTTTACTAAATCAACAACTCCTCTACAGTACAGAATGCTGGTATTCTCCATCTAATCCACAAAAACTTATTTATTTAAGAGTTAACCATTTACCACGGGACAAACAAACCCTACAAAGGCCAAAGGGGAACTGTAGTGTAGATAGACTTGTTAATGATCATGAGAAAGAGAAAAGGTAGTTGAACATAATCACTGAAGTGTGGTTCACTTTAAGAAGATGCACATGGGTAGATTAACTATTTAAACTGATGTCCACACAATTCCTGCAACTGCTGTGGAAAATACATAGCTAATCCTTTGTTAATTCATTCCTCCTTTATGCCAGGATCAAATTGTTCTCTTGTCATTGTTTTCAGTACTTTGGACAGATTTTCTGACAAAATAGCTTAATAAATCATCAGTTGTCCATTTTATGTTCCACACAGATTACCAGAGCCTTAATAGGTTTAATTTTCTTTATGTTATTGAATGATTTTTATACAATATAGTGAACAGAAGCATTAAAGTTAAGCAATCCAGTAGGATGGTGTACACAATTAACAACTACAACAAATATCTGCTGCTGTTACCAAGTGCTATGCAGCGGAAAGAGGAGTACCTGCCCTACAGTTGTTTGTAGTTTGCTACTGTCCTTTCCTGTGTTAAACTGGAAGCACATGCATCTGTTTTAGAATGCAATAGCCCTGGTGAAGCACTAATGCCTGAGCATTTATCTCCCTTCTCTATATTGCTCTGCTAATCCAGAACAGATGTAGGCTGGGCAAGGACAAAGCTATACCCTAGCCAACTGTATGGAAGGACCCTCCAAATTATGTTTCTTTAGTTATAGCCATATACCAGGATCAATAACTGTGCAACTAAAGTTGGACTCTACCTGCACTCTAGGGCTTTGCAGAGGACAGTGAGAGCAAGCAGCAGACATTAATGTTCTCTCAGGAAATATAACACTTTTCTACAGACCTGTAGATTAGATGACACATGCTTCCCCCCAAAATCCAGATAACTGGTTTCCATGGGATCATGTTGTTTTGATTACTGGACAGGGTAAACACCTTTTAGAGCCATTTCCCTGCTCTGATGCTTTATCTTGATTCCTTCAGCACTAGGCTAAGGAGCAGTGAGATGGAGAGCATTTGTTTGTTCATGGTTATAGATTCATAGATTCATAAATTCAGGGTCAGAAGGGACCTTGCAGATCTTCTCGTCCGACCCCCTGCCCTGGGCAGGAGAGAAAACTGGGCTCAAATGACCCCAGCTAGGTAACTGTCAAGCCTCCTCTTAAAGACCCCCAAGGTAGGTGCCAGCACTACTTCCCTTGGAAGTTGGTTCCAGATACTGGCTGCCCTGAGTGTGAAGTAGTGCCTTCTAATGTTCAGCCTGAACCTAATCTAATGGGGAACAAGGAGTCTCCCATTCCCCACTGGTCCCCCCTAGTAAGTTTATAGATGGTCACCAGGTCCCCTCTCAGTCTTCTCAGGTTCAGGTCCTGTAGCCTCTCTTTGTAGGGTCTGCCCTGCTGTCCCTGGGTCGTGAGAGTGGCCCTCCTTTGGACCCTCTCAATGCTGTCCACATCCTTCCTGAATTGCAGCGCCCAGAACTGGACACAATACTCCAACTGCGGCCTGACCAGTGTTGCATAGAGGGAGAGGGTCACCTCCTTGGCCCTGCTTGTGATGCATCTGTGGATGCACAACAAGGTACGGTTAGCCCTACTGACTGTGTCCTCGCATTGCCGGCCCATGTTCCTCTTGGAAATGATAATGACTTCAAGAACTCTTTCTGCCACTGTGCTTTCAAGAAGGGAGTTCCCCAGCATATAGGTATGCTGCTGGTTCTTACTGCCCAAGTGCAGCACCCTGCACTTGTCAGTATTGAATCCCATCCTATTCTAATTTGCCCACCCCTGTAACCTGTCCAGGTCCAGCTGTATCCTCTCCCTCCCTTCTAGCATGCCCACCTCACCCCAAATCTTGGTGTCATCCATGAATTTAAACAGGGTGCTTTTCACCCCCTCGTTCAAGTAGCTAATAAAGAAATTGAACAGTGAGGGACCAAGGGCCAAGCCGTGGGGGACCCCACTGCCCACATCCCTCCAGGTCAAATATGACCCGTCCATCACCACTCTCTGAGTGCAGTCCCTCAGCCAATTTGCTATCCATCTGACTGTGTAGGCATCAATGCCACAGTTGCCTAGCTTTTTAATGAGAATGGGGTGGGAGACAGTGTCAAAGGCCTTCTTCAAATCCAGAAAGACTACATCCACTGCAACATTTGCATCCAATGATTTTGTGACCTGATCATAGAAGGCAATCAGGTTGGTCTGACAGGACCTGCTCCTAACGAAACCATGCTGGTTGCCCCTGAGCACCATCCCCACTGCTGGCCCTTCACAGATATGCTCTTTGACAATCTTCTCAAAGAGCTTCCTGAAAATCGAAGTAAGACTAACAGGCCTATAGTTGCCCAAGGCCTCCTTCCTCCCTTTTTTGAAGATGGGGACCACATTGGCCCTCTTTCAGTCATCCAGCACCTGGCCAGAGCACCACAAGTGCCCATAAAGCCATGCCAGGGGGTTAATAAAGGGCCATTAAATATCCTTGATGTGATCCTCATTTGGGCCTACTGGGTATTACAAATAATACAAATTACAAATAATAATAAACTTAATGTAAGAAATGAGTTTAAAGTGGTTCTTGACTCTTGACTGAGTAGCAGATTCACATTGCATTCTCTCATCTATGAAATGCAGAAAATGAAATTTTGAAACCTGATGCAAATCTCCCTTTTCATGTTTGTTGCTGCTATTTTTCTTCTGCTTTTCCTTGTGATTACTAAACCAGAAAAAACCCAAATTTTATTTTGTAATGACTAATTCTTCTCTCATCAAATTAATTTTTATATCTCCTATGAGCCCTTTATCATCATTAGTAGTAATCTCTTGGTTCCAATGTGGAGGTTATTGTTGGGAAAATGTTCAGCCTGAGACAGGCATAGGTTATTGTCCAAGACACCATAGCTGACTGTTCTACCAAGAAAAGATGGTAGGGATTTAGGTAAGATATATGTGGTAGTAGACCATTTATTGGTTTAAAATCTTTTTCCTTGTATGCTATTTTTTGTTCTTACTATTAAAATTAAACAATATTTTGTTTTAAAAAGGCTGCTCAGTCACTGTATTCAGCACTGACCACTGACTCCCTAAGGGAAGAACCACAAGTACAGAGCTGGATCTGCCAAGCAAGCATACAGTATTGTATCCCAGATTTCAATTAAAGAGTGGAAGAATCAGATGATTCCACATGACAGGGATAATATGAAACCTGACACCCTTAAAAGTGTGCACTTGGAGAGACCAGAGACAGGACAAAAACGTAACTAACCGTGCAACTACATGGTAGATGGAGTTCAATTAATTTTCACCTCCAGGTGGGATACCGAGCCAGAAAGTGAGTTGGACAGCTCTGCCATATGTTGAGTACTAGAGAGGAAGCAAGAGATATATCTTCCTTTTTTATTTCCCCTTGGCTTGTACAAGCCTCTTCAAGGAGGGACAGAAACTTCCCCAGAGAGACCAGCTTTCACATTTGGGAAGCATAATATGGAAAAAAAATTTTCATTCTACATTATGCCAAACTTGCCTTATAATATGTTTGAAATTAAAAAATGCTGAATGATGGGGAAAAAAAGCCTAGGGAAATCTGTTTCCTCTTACACTTCTACTTTTAGCACTGAGCTTGACATGACCTTCAATTTCCCATGATATAATCTGATATAAATACGTTTGTTGACTTTGCTCTGATGAGATAACAAATTACAGTTTTTTGTCTACAATAAATGTTTATAACTTTTAAGTTAAACAAGTTTATAACTTGTTAAAGTTTCAGATTTTCAGAATATATATATATATATATATATAATGATAAAATGAATGCTCTCTGTCCTTTGAATTATTTTATATAAACACATAACTGGTTTAGCTTATTTTTAAGGCATCTATTTATTACAGTTTGTTTATATTTATTACTGTTTCATTTTTGTAAGAAGTAATTTCAAAAGGAAATAGCAGATATTGTACAAGATGCATAGCACAATATCCCAAAAAACAGCTGGACTGATTTATCAGTTAGAAAGAAGCCATAGTTATTTCACAGCATAGACAACCTCTGAGCACTTCCTCTTTTGTAAATTTTGAGATAGATAATGAAATAAGCATTCGTCATCGTTATGCTCTTCCAAACAGAGGAAGAAATCATATGAGACCTTAAACTCACTTATTTTTCATTAAAGAAAATTAGAAATGGCGAACAAAAGGGACCATTTCTATGCAATACAGTATGTGCCTGTCTTCTGTAGCAGACTGGAACTACTCTGAGAGCTAAATGTTTATTCATGCATACATGCAGTACGAACTGCCCTCTCTTCCCCCCCCCCCCAATTAAAAAACATTAATTTCACCATCTAATTAACCTGTGGTGCCCAACCATTTTTCTGTGGGCCAGATGACAGGTGCAGGGTGCGTCTGCAGGCCAAATCCACAAAATGTGCCCAATCTGGCATGTACAGGGCTAGCATGTGTTGGATCGAGTTGCAGTCCCATATATACCATATAGAGGTCATGGCCCCACATGGAATTGGGCCCACTGCCCCAGCTCAAGCCCCCTGTGTACTGATTGGTCCTGTCAGCTCAGCTCCAATCCTGCGCACTCCGGATTGGGCCCTGCCATCAGGGGTGCAGCCCAGCCTCCACAAGATTGGGTCCTGCTGCCCCAGCTCCTGAGGGCCTGATGGGGCCCCATCACCTACTATATACAGGCAGGAACCCAGGTGCAAGGCCACGTCTTCTGGCTCACAGAGCTTGGAAATTTGGCCATGGAGGAGCAGTGACAGCATTAATTGCTACCAGTCCCTCCTCCCCTGCCCTCCCAGCCAAATTTCTAGACCCTGGATTTCACAGCCCCACAGGCCAGATTTGGCCAGCAGGCCCATGGCTGATCTGGCCCGTTAAACATCGCAATTTGCTCTTTATACAGGAGTTCCTACAA